ATATTTTCATTAAGCAAAAACCGTACGTACAGTCCAATATAAAGCATGCAAGACGACAAATGAAACGACGTCGTTTATCATAGACACAACGACGTCGTATGAACTAATAAGGCGCACAAAACAAACGGTGTCGTATCGCATAACAAAAAAAGAAAAATAAGAAAAAGAAACAGAAAATAAGAACAGCCATGCAGTCTTCATTGCGAGATGCTGCGATCACCAACATCTTCTACACCCGCCCCTCAAGGTGGGCCGCGGTGAACGGCAAGCAGGCCCAACTTGGACACCAGAGCAGCAAACCGAGGGCCAGCTACAATCTTAGTGAAGAGATCAGCCAATTGATGTAGAGAAGCCACAAACATTGGTAAAATGAAACCTTGCTTGAATTTATCTCTCACAATATGACAATCAATTTCCAAATGTTTGGTGCGTTCGTGGAACACAGGATTAGCCGTGATATGCATCGCCGCTTGGTTATCACACCAAAGAGGAATAGGAAACACTAAGGAAACATGAAATTCTTGGGCCAAATACTGCAGCCATAATAATTCAGAAACAGTGGATCCCATGGCTCTATATTCGGCCTCAGCCGAGGATTTGGAGACCGTATGCTGCTTCTTGCTCTTCCAAGAGATGAGAGCATCACCAAGAAATATACAAAAACCGGTTATAGATCTCCTAGTATCCTTACAAGTGGCCCAATCAGCATCACAATAGGCAACAAGAGTGAAGGAGGCTGAGTTGGAAGGATAAAATAAACCCAAAGTTGGTGTGCCTTTTAAGTACCTCAAGATGTGTAAGGCCGCATTCCAGTGAGAGTCATGAGGGCTGTTAACAAATTGACTGAGCTGTTGGACAGCATATGTCACATCTGGTCTAGTGAGCCCAAGATAAAGCAGCCTCCCAATGAGCCGTCTAAACAACTCTGGTTCAGTCATAGCTGTGCCACTGTGTGCTTCGAGTCTGACTCCCAAAGACAAAGGTGTAGGAGCTGGTGTACAACTTAGCATGTTCAAATCACCAAGAATGTCTAGAATATATTTCCTTTGACATAAAGACACACCTTTGGCAGTATAGGTGAATTCAACCCCTAAGAAAAACTGAGCAATACCAAGATCCTTGATAGTGAACTGATTATCAAGAAATTGCTTTAAGTTATGAATGAGAGCGAGGGATGAACTAGTGACCAAGACATCATCCACATACACTAGTAAGGCCATAAAGTCAGACCCCTTTGTAGTAGTGAAGAGACAATGATCATAGGAAGACTGAAGAAGCCCATGAAGTGACAATTTTCTGCATAACTCATGGTTCCATTCTCTTGAGGCCTGTTTGAGGCCATATAGGCTCTTGATCAATTTACACACTTGTCCTGGACCTGCTTTATCATATCCCAGAGGTGGAGTCATAAACACTTCTTCAGAAAGTGTGCCATGTAAAAAGGCATTATTCACATCCAATTGATGAATAGGCCACCCTCTGTATATAGCTGTGGCAATAAAAAACCGAACTGTCACAAGTCTGGCCACAGGAGAAAAAATGTCAAAGTAGTTGACCCCTTCTACTTGATTGTACCCCTTAGCCACAAGCCTGGCTTTATACCTCTCAACTGACCCATCAGCTTTCCTTTTGATTTTATAGACCCACTTGCTCCCTATAGCTTTCTTCCCATGTGGTAACTCAGTGATTTCCCAAGTGTGATTATCCTCCAAGGCTGTTAATTCCTTTTGCATAGCCTCAACCCAAGAAGGATGTAAGATTGCCTGCTTATAGTGTGTAGGTTCCTTCTCTGTGGATATGTTGGCTGAAAACACCCTTTGAGATGATAAGTTTGGATAAACCTCAGAACTGGAGTATGGAGAATTGGGAAATGTATGTCCCTCTTTCAAATCCTGTGTGACTGAAGATCCTCCACACACATAATCATTCTGCCACCTAGGTATCTCTCTTGTTCTAGCACTTCTCCTTGTTCCATCTGTAGTAATATGATGAGGTAGGTGTATGTCATCAGCAATATCATCTTGTAGTGTGTCATCTCTAACAGCCTGTGGTATCACTTCCTGATTTGTGTCTGGTTCAATACTAGGAAATATGTCATCAAAAAACTGCACATCCCTGGATATAAAGCATTCCCCACTGTCAGTGTCATACAGTTGAAAACCCTTATTTCCTGGTCCATATCCCAGGAAAACACATTTGCTGCCCCTTGGTTCATATTTAGACCTGAAAGGGTGAACCTTAGCTGTATAAGCCAAGCACCCAAAAGGTTTCAGTTTTGTGTAGTCTGGTGACTCCTCATAAATCCTTTCATAAGGGCTTATCCAATGTAAAAGAGCACTAGGAAGTCTGTTGATAATGAATGCTGCAACCAATATGGAGTAAGGCCAAAACTTTATTGGAAGATTTGATTGATAGATTAGTGCTCTTCCAATCTCAAGTAGCTGCCTGTGTTTCCTTTCCACTACACCATTTTGCTGTGGTGTGTATATACAACTTGTCTCATGGATGATTCCTTTCCTTTGAAAGAAACCTTGCAATTCATTTCCCAAAAACTCTTTACCATTGTCTGTTCTGATCTTCTTAACTGTGGTGTCAAACTGATTTTCAACCATAAGAATAAATCCACTTAACAATTTGGAGGCCTGTGACTTTTGTTCCATCAAGAACACCCAAACTCCCCTACTGTAATCATCAACTATAGTCAAAAAGAATGCTGTGCCAGTTATTGCTTCTTCCTTGCAGGGGCCCCAAATATCTGCATGTAACATTTCAAACTTTCTGGCTGCATGTATGGTGCTTGGTTGGAAAGGAAGTCTATGTTGTTTTGCTTTATGGCAGACCTCACAAGATTTAATCCTCTTTTCTTCTGCTTCTGCAAATTTTCCTTTAATGAAATGGAGATGCTGCAGGGTCCCAATACTTGCATGCCCAAGGCATTGATGCCATTGTTCCAGTGAAAGTCTAGTGTTCACAGTATTTGCATGCACCATACTGTCTCTGTTCAAAATGTACAGATTCCCTTTCGAAGTTCCTTGTCCAATGAGCTCATCAGTATCACAATGGTGCAAATAGCAGGAAGTAGAGGAGAATGAACACTTAACCTTTTCATCTAGGCATAATTGGCTGACTGAAAGCAAGTTATATTTGAAGTCAGGCACATACAACACATTGTGCAAGGTTAAGGTGTTGCTTATGATTACTATTCCAACAACATTCACCCTTTTACTTGTTCCATCTGGCAAGCAAATGGTCACAGGATCCTTCAAGACACAGGTGTTTTTCATCAGACTCCAATCACCACACATGTGTTTGCTTGCCCCGGTATCAATTATCCAGTCATTACAACTCACATTCTCAGATGTGGTTAGGGCAAATTGCATCTCATCAGCATTTCCTTTTCCTGTGAAACTCACCATCTGTGCATAATCCACCTTAGTCTCTGCATTTTCCTTTCCTTTTATGAACTGTGTGATTTCTTGCAGCTGTTTGACAACAAGTGAGAGATCAGTTTCCTTTCCATTCCTCTTGTCCATTACTGATTCCTTCCATTCCTCTGATTCACTTAGGTAATCAACACTGTTACATAGTTCACTCCTTGTGCCTTTAAATCTTTATACCACTCAGGAACACCATGTATCTTGAAACAGGTGGCAATTGTGTGTCCTCTCATCCCACACTTCTCACATAATAGTCTGGCCTTTTCTTCTTTACTCAATCTACTGAAACCTCTACCTCTTCCTCCTGTGAAGCTTCCTCCTCTACCAGCGAAACCTCTTCCTTGATTGTTAAATCCTCTACCATATCCTTCAGATTTAACATTCATGGCCAAATTATCAATTTTCTCAAAAGAGTTACTTACATTCCTTTGCCTCTCTGCTGACAGCACCATCGAGTAAGCCTTATTTACACTAGGCAGAGGATCAATCAACATGATTTGATTTTTCAGATTATCATATCCGTCATTTAAACCCATAAGGAACTGTATTAGCTTATTTTCAGCCTCATCTTGAGCTACTATTTTTCCTTTTTCACAGTTGCAGGCTTGAATAGGAACAATACATGCATACTCGTCCCAAAGTTTCTTCAATCTGTTAAAGTACTCCATTACAGTACTGTTTCCCTGTACTAAAGTGTTGATTTCCCTCCTCAATTTATATTTCATAGGTCCGTTGTTTTCTCCAAATCTCAAACATATTTCTTCCCAAAGATCCTTAGAAGTCTCAGCGTAAACAAACGACTCAGCAATTTCCTTAGACATACAATTCAGAATCCAAGACAAAATCATCCAATCGACTTTCTTCCATTCCTCATAATCATCACTATCAACATCGGGTTGAGAAAACTCACCATTGATGAAGCCGAGCTTCCTTTTAGCTCCAAGAGCTATCATCATCGATCGGCGCCATGAAAGGAAGTTGTTTCCAGTCAGTTGATTTGAAACCAGTATCAAACCAGGATTGTCAGATCCATGAAGAAAGAGAGGATCCTGATTCGCCTGACGCATGCTAGATCCGCTTGCATTGAACACGTTTTCTCGCCTCATCGCCATTGTAGATCAATCTCCAAGTTTCCCAAGACCGATTGCTCTGATACCATGTAAAATATCTAGAATCTCACACACAACTCCATTTTGGGAATTTTTCTTAGCTCGTATATTTTCATTAAGCAAAAACCGTACGTACAGTCCAATATAAAGCATGCAAGACGACAAATGAAACGACGTCGTTTATCATAGACACAACGACGTCGTATGAACTAATAAGGCGCACAAAACAAACGGTGTCGTATCGCATAACAAAAAAAGAAAAATAAGAAAAAGAAACAGAAAATAAGAACAGCCATGCAGTCTTCATTGCGAGATGCTGCGATCACCAACATCTTCTACAATAAGAGTTTTGTTTGTCGTGTTACTTGAAATCAATAGATAGATTAAGTTGGTATATCAAAATATAAGCATATTTTTGCCTTTTTTTGTGGGTGGTGTGTGGTGTTTGTGGTTCATGGTTAATATGTATTTTTTTCCGAGTCGTGGGTTGTTTTGTCTATGGATTTGAGTTAGGTTTTCAGGGGTGGTAGGGGTGGTAATTGATTCTCTGTGAAAAAATTTCCGTAAATATGAGCTTTTTCATCTTTTAATGCTTTTACAAATGTGGTTATACAAAATTAGACTTTGCCACATCTTTTCCCATAAATCGTGGGTTCATTTGTTGTGTCCAGTCGGAGGCCTTTGCTTCAACACTATTCGCAGTTATAGCTTTTATTTTGCATCTTTTTAAGCAAATTTGTGTTGATGGAGTGATTTTACAGAAGGCTCGAAGGCACTGTCACCAGAGAAGGAGGAAACCGCATCCAACAACTATGATGCGTGGGCCGACCCCGCATTCAGCTGCGGCGAGCAAGGTATGTTGTTCTCATCAGGTCGGGTCACAGATGTCCCCTTCGATTGTGTCCCGCCGCTAATGGAGGTGCATCATGTTGTTCATGTGTGATTTTACACCATATTTATTGAGTATCTAGAGCTTAGTCATTGCGTTATTGGTGTATAAATTACATATTTGTGCTTTAATTCTCTATTTGTTGGAAAGGTATTACACGTGCTTGTTTTGTAGATATTTTCACATATTTGTAGAGCTTGTAGCTATTGGAGGCGCATGGTGAGTACCTAGGACTCCCGAGATGATGATGGATTAATGCACGGATGAGAAAAATGGAAGAAACGAGTGAAACGGACAAAAAACGAGAGTGCTGGGATGTGACACGGGCAGTGACACGGGCACCATGCCCGTGTCAGGTGGCCGTGTCACATGAACAGGGGCATTCCGAGGCTTGAAACCTGACACGACCCGTGACACGGGCTGTGACACGGGCGTGTCAGGCCGTGTCGCGCGCTGGAACAGAATTTTAATACTTGCCTAATTTGACTAGGAGAGGTTTTTGGACACAAGAGGAAGCATATTTAACCTAGTTTGAGAGGCCAAAAAGAGGGGAACACATTAGAGAGGCTTGGAAACACACAAGAGGAGCAATTGGAAGGCAAAAGGAGATCAACCACAAAGGGATCAAGGAGATT